CACCCATTTTAACAAAGTAAGACCCATTTTACTTAACCTTTTCCGGGTCCCAGTGACATGTTCAATTTATTTTCCGATACAAACAAATTCACGTCATGTGACAACATAGAACTGTATTTGATTAAGTTAAATCCCTGGCAAAGGCCATTTTATAAGCAACAAAAGACTTATGTAGCACAATTCTAGACTTTATTTTGACTGTTCATTATAATATATTAATACACTTGTTACTATATATAGTAACAAAATTGACTATGATTTCAACTGATTATGAGTGTCACGTGACCTATTATGAGTTTGCGGCCCGGGGCCGAGAACTAGTTATCAGCCCGCAGAACATGTGCACGTGCAGAAACAATGACGTCTTATTCTACGTCATCAAACAGTTAACTGTAAAAGTGAAAGTAGGTTGTCAGCACGAATCGCTTTATTTTTATTATGAGAGCTTAAGCGTATTTAGTACAAACACATTTTTGTTAGTATTGAAATTTGAAGAAATAATACGACAAATTCATTCCGAAAAGAAAATGAAAATAAAACTTGCTTCTAGATTCTACTGTTCTGCTTTGAACACACAAACAGTAAACATCTCTGTACAGAACAGTAGAAGTGTAGACAATAATTTCAACGAAAAAACTTCAAAGTATTTGTTGTTGTTGTTGTTTTTTTAATGCTACTATTAGATCTACCAAGTGTATTAAAGACATTAATACACGTCAGAGTAGGGCCGGAATGTGATAATCGGCCCTGAAATGAATAATGCCCTCGGGGCCATTATTCATTTTGCAGGCCGATTATCACCTTCCGGCCCTACTCTGCCGTGTATTAATCTCTTATTAATATACTTGTTACTATATATAGTAACAAAATTGCCTATGATTTTAACTGATTATGAGTGTCACGTGACCTGGTGACCTATTATGAGCTTGCGGCCCGGGGCCGAGAACTAGTTATCATCCTGCAGAACATGTGCACATGTACAAACTGAAACAATGACGTCATATTTTACGTCATCAAACAGTTAACTGTAAAAGTGAAAGTAGGTTGTCAGCACGAATCTCTTTATTTTTATTATATGAGAGCTTAAGTGTATTGAGTACAAACACATTTTTGTTACTATTGAGATTTGAAGAAATAATACGACATATTCATACCGAAAAAAATGAAAATAAAATTTGCTTCTAGATTCTACTGCTTTGAACACACAAACAGTAAACATCTCTGTACTGAGTACAGAACTACGGAAGAGCATTAGGACCAGGTGTATGTTTTTTATTAACTCGAAATTTCGAGTTACTAACTCGAAATTTCGAGTTACTAACGCGAAATTTCGACTTACTTATCTCGAAATTTCGAGTTACTAACTCGAAATTTCGACTTACTAACTCGAAATTTCGAGTTACATGTTTAGCGTAAATGTCCGGGACATTGGTCAGAAATGTTGTTTGAATGATTTTTCCAGTTCAGGTTTGAATACGGCTCATCTGAGGTCAAAAAAGGTTACAGCACATACAAAGGCATGTACGGAAAAGCCTTATTAACATTTGCACTATTTCAGGTACAGATATGAATGTTATGTTATCAGATCCAGTTTATGGCATTAAATCTGCCTTACATTTATTGCTAACTATATTAATTCAGAGCCTCAATAATCAGGTCAGCGATATAAGGATCATATTGACTTACTTGTTATTACTTTCCAGATATCTAATATAGTTTGACACGTGATAGTTTATTTTCTTTTCTTATAAAAAAATCTTCTTTTAAAAAATCTAAAGAGCTACAGCTTAGATATTTAGCATGAAACATCTTCTAATGAGTGTTTACCAAATTTGTTCAAATAAAAGCCCTTGGGTCAAATTTGGCCCCAACGCAGGGTATATATATCCTTATATGTACACATCTATTGGGACTGTTGTTTTCCTAAGCAGTAGCAATCAGCAATATTTTACATGTGCACTTTTTCAGATACAAATATGAATTTTGTGATATCAGTTTAAGATTTAGATTTTATATCTGCTGTTGTTATTATAAGCTAACAATATTACTTGGAGACCCCTTTGTTTAAATCTGAGCTTTTGTGAGTGATGGTTGTCCGTCATTCGTCTGTCGTTAAATGTGTCTGGCAGATTTACACCAAACTTCACATGAATGATCCTTAGGTAGCCTTTTTCAAAAGTTATTTAAAGAAATGCATGTATTGTTTAACTCTGGTCGCCATGGCACCCACAATTTTTTTTTAAAAGAGCTGGTTCAAAAGCACAAGGCTTTAATATTGGCAAATAGTTTGAATTACATTTTTTATTGGTGTTCACATCACTGAAGCATAAAGGGAGGCTTCTTGATCAACAAGGGCATTGGTTTGAGTCACCCATGCGTGTGGTAATTACGCGACACCAATAATTAAAATGATGATAATAAAATGAAAATAATTATAATCAAAATTATCACCATTGTTTGGTTGACATACTAGAATATATGTTTTAGCTTTATCATGAATGGTCAAAGTTAATTCTTTACATACGACAAAAAGGCAAAAAGTGTTCAAAGTAATCATTATATGGTTAATGCGTAGAACGTTGTTGCATTATCGTGGTGGCCCTATTTATGCGTTGAGAACCACCGCATAAGCAAAATTGGTAACGGTGCGGAAACGCTGTTATGTTGGGTTAAATGGCACAATGAAATATATTTTCGGAAATTAATTCATTTTATACTTTGGTATCGAAATAGTGTAACTTTACCTAAGAAGTATTTATATAATAATCATGCCTTTAGCCTCCTTTTTGGAGAAAGGAAAATTTTAATGTCATCAGAAAAAAATCTATCGATGAAATTGAAATCTATCGAAAGCTCAGATTCCATGATATTTTGTGACATAAAAAATATATATTGTAATAAACACTTTTTTAAGTAAATTTATCATTAACAATTGTCTGTATAATAGATTAGTCTTGACCGTAGAACTATTAATACTGGCTTGTATGAAAAAGTGTTTTATGTGTGAAAAAACTTTTTTATTTTATGCTTTTCAGTGGATTACTGATTTATCCGTGAAAATTATATTTGATAATTTCACAGTGAAAATTATCAAAATATAATTTCACACTTTTCAATGACGAAACTACTTTTTTAAGATTTTTCCCACGTGGTACCTCAATTTTATTTTTGCTAACAATTCTGACAAATGTCAGGCTGTTTAAAGAAAACGCAAAGCTGAAATTGATAAATACCTTAAACGTCAAAAGTAATAACAAGAAGAAAACTTACTTCTATTCATTCAAATTCCAATCACCAAATTTCGTCTCTAAATTTTTTGTTTCATTTTTAAAGTCTAAATAATACATTCCTTCCACATGCAAACTGCTCTTGATGTCATTTGGGCATATTAAAGTATCCTACGAGTAATAACTGCCGTATGCTTTATGAAAAATTGAAAAGCAATGACAGCTACAGCTCGTAGAACAAGTTAACCACCCAGCGTTCCGAGCAAGTTCCAAGTCTTCCATTTTCATAGCTGCTTTTTTCATGTTTTCACATCTGTCAACACTTATTTCGTGTCTGTTTCAATCCTCAAATATGTTTTCTTTCTTTTAAAAAGGTGTATGACTAACAAATCCAAATGATATCCCTCTGAATCAAACACAATTATTTTCCTCCCGTGAAATACACAACTTTAAAAAATGGCTGCCGCTTACATTTAACAAAGCCAGGTCTAATATAAATTTGCAGTAAGTAACAAAAATATGGATGGATGGTTGGAATGTTCTCCTACACGAATTGTTTGTTTTTATTATTAAAACAAGCGATCATTCATATTTTTTAAACAAAATAAATAATATCACTGTCATTTAACGTTGATTGTCGGACTTATTTTTTAGCTCAAGACTTCTTGTTTTTAATGAAGAATTCGCACGAAATGAGGCTCTCAATGGGGAAACAGATTTTAATATTTATGTTAATATTATGGAAATTTCGTTTAAACTTGTTTTTTAGCATAAAATAAAAAGAAAATTTGTTTGTTTGTTGTGTAAGATTTAATTTTATTTCATCTCGTGAACTTTAAAAACAGTATTCTCACTCGTGGCTACGCCACTCGTGAGAATACTGTTTTTAAAGCCCACTCGATGAAATAAAATTTCGTCTTACACACAAACAAACAAATATCCTCTATTTATTATTAATTTTAGTGGATCAATATGTGAATGTTCGTGTGAAGATAACAAGCTTTTATAATTATAACTTAAATAAGTGATCTCCAATTTTACCGCGATATTCTACTTAACCTGAAAGTTCATCTAGGTTTATGGCGTTACCATCTTAACTAAAAAATGATCTCTCCAATTTGATTTAACCTTATAAAGAAAGGTTTAATATATTTGTGTGGTGATCTTAACTTCTACTGCTTATGCCATATCGATTTAATTTAAATGTTTCGTGTTGACAATTGTCTTTTTGGAGAGTTAATTGCAGTAGAATAAAGCATATGTCCGATCTATAGAAGCATTATTGTTAAAATTGAACCAAATACACACACGAACCCACGCACATGCTCACGCACCAACGCATGTACCAACACGCGCACACACACACGCACGCACGCACACGCACACACACAGAGATACTTATATATATGATAATATGAAATACCAAGTTATTGAGAGCGATTCTGATTAAGTTAAAAATACTGTGGAGTTTAATCAACAGCTGTGAAATTAATTGGTAAATACAATCTGGTTGGAAATACAAATAAAGAAAATTATGCACATAATTTATGTGAAATGACTGCTACAAGTAAGCGTGTATTAAGTGTGTGTTGTTGTTTTGTTTTAAACATGAAAAAGAAATCGACGTGGATTACTGTATTTTTGGCTTGTATAGGAACTTATGTCATTTTCAACTCTAAATTATCAACTGGTGATATCTTTAATAAAAGGCTACAAAATGGATCATTTTCTAAATTAGATTCTTTTTGTCAGTTTCTATGTCCGATACAAAATATGCTTCAAGTTACACAACCGCGATATAACGCAACAGAGCTGTCTGAAAAGGATAATTTAACAAACCCCAAAAAATGGACAATTCTTCTTACTGTTAATGAAGCTTTCTTTGACTTTTTTGAAAACTGGTGGTTGTATTTTCGAAAACTGGATCTAACAGTTAATGTGATTGTGATAGCTGAGGATGAAATTGTTTTCGCAAAATTAAAGGAAAAATATTCAAGACCTTTAGTAGAAATTATCCGGAGCTGGATTATAAACATTTCATCTCCACTTGTTTGGAACAGTATTGGTTACAGACAAATGGCCTCGGCAAGACCAGTCTATATTCTCAAGTATTTAAAAGAGTCAATAAATATTCTATACACAGATGTTGACACGGTATTTCTGCAAAATCCATTCAAGTATTTCACAGGTAATTTTGACATGTGGTCGCAGTCAGAAGACAAAGGCATTTGTGCAGGATTCACAGCTTACAGAAGCAGTTCAAGAACAGTAAAGTTAGTAGAGAATTGGTTAAAACGACTAAGTAAACGCTTACAAATAAATCAACCAGCTCTAAACGAAGAGATCCGTACGTCAAATGTTAGTATCTCGCACTTGAATAAAAGCTTATTTGTTGGAGGTCCCACATTTACAAAAATGTCAAAAGAGCAACGATCCAAGGTGGTTATGGTCCATTCTACATATTTTGTTACCCATAAGGGAAAATATGATTGTTTTAAAAAATGGAAATTATGGAACGTTAACAATTAACACTCTTAGTATTTTTACTTATATAGAAAAAGAAATAATTATATTTTAGTTCTAACATGCTTTACACTTTTCCCCAATCAAACAATTAGGACAGTCAAGTTATTATTATTCAATAGATGAACAGTACAAAGAAAGAATGCATTATACGTAATATAATGTAATATATGACGTCAATAATTCAAATGACGTCAAGAGGATTACTTCCGTGTTCAACGTAGTTTAACATATTGACATCAGATCAATGCTTTTATTTGTATGTTAGACTATAAATTGACATCAATGTTTTATGCTTTATAGTGGATTATGCATGGTTTACTGTTAACATGTTTTGAAATTAATTTATCTGGCCTTTCGGTTTTCGTGATAATATTCCTGAGCCGAGCATCATTCTACAACAATGCACTCAAAATTGATATAAATTTCCTTATTATATGTACGATATATTTTTGACTTTTGAAATATGTTCCCTGTTTCGATACATAATATAGAGTTGTGCACCATTACGTTTGTAGGCTTTTTAATTAATCGTCTCTTTTGATTCCTTGTCAGTTTCTATTATTTCTTACTTGTTGCATTGTCGGATTCTATTATTTCCTAAAACATATTATTAAAGTAATCGTCCCCGTTCTAACTTTGCCTTGTGCCTTGTTTATTTGGGTCCTACTGGGCTCCATCATCTGTCCATGTCGGCTGTTCTGTGTTGCTGGGTTGTGTGGGGATTGTATTCATCCTTGTTGATTTGTTTTTCATATCTTATGTTAATAGTCTAACGACAACATAATTTGTAGAAACTGAAATAGTGAAAAACAGAATCCCTGAAGAAAGCCTAACACGGAAAAATTGTAAAATGTTGCAGGCTCGGTTTGATTGCTTCTGTTCATGGACGGTACTGGAAAATGCAAGTTACTGTCTACGCCACCTAGCACCGGCTTAAGCAGAATTCAACATTTAATCACAAAAAATGGTGATTTTTGAATTAAGAAACATCTGCAGATGTGTTCATACGGCGGTTATCATGGAACCTTCAATGTGACACAGTAGTGACATTTCATGAAAAGCGGTGTATGGTCCCCAAGTAAAAGAATGCGTGTGCCCTTAACAAGAAAACAATGGGCGGAACTAAATAAAATGGGATTTTGAAAGCGGATCAGAGGTTATGAATCCTGCATATCACAGATAATACGTCAAAAGACAAATTTAAAAGCAGACCACATATCCTAAGGGTGATTATTTAGTATTCAAGTAGGAATACTGGAATCACCCAAATTGAAAACGGCCATAAACAAGAAACTAAAATTCCATTTTATATGTATACACAACATGAAAATTGCAAAATTTCAAAACTGCTGATTTTTTAACAATGGTAATTTTCAGCTGTTGAAGGTTCGTTTTATAATTCCATTTGATAGAAAATATAGGTAAATAGTCACTGCGGTTTTAATACAGAAAACAAAACAAATCATACATAGTCTTATGCCCCTTAGTTCACACTATATGGCATTCTGTCTATGTGTACGTATGTGCGGACCTTCTAGAGAAATCTCTTCAGTTTTGTTTAATCTATTTTGCTTTAAAGGGGAATACACAATCCTCCCTTTATACATAATGGCCAACATCAGCAATTTTATGTCATCCATTGCTTAAAAAAATGGATATTTCCTATCAAATGAGAGATTATATAAGTTTGTGGTGTTAATTTCAGTTCATTTCATTTATTGGCATGTAAATAACATGCCTTGTAGCAGCCAACTGCCAACAAATGGGAAATATATGAAAAAACAAGACGAAGTAATACGCTTCGGTTTATCATCAGTTTTTTTCTGTTGTAGAAAATCGTACTTTGCCTTGTGCCCTGGTGTCTGATGTGCTCCTTACCGGTGTCCTGTGTTGCTGGGTCGTGTGGGTTGTGTAGGGGTTGCGTTCATTGAACGCCGCCTCTCCTTGATGATCTTATTAAAATGACTTACTGGCTTCGTTTTTTTAATACAATGACATACATTAAATATCTTTTAATAATCAAGAATGTCTTCAATGATACAATATGATCAAGGTCAGACCAATTTCCCTTATGACTGTATAAAAACGCCGTAAAGTTTTAAGTCCGGAAATTCTCCATCTAAAATGTTAACTTACTTAAAAACACTAAATTCTGCGCTTTGGTCGAATGTTTCACTATTGTTCACTTTAGTGTTTTCAGTGAACTGCGAAGAGAGCGTAAAAACACTATGCTTAACAATGTTTTAAAAACAATTGTTTGATAATGATAATAAACATTACACCAGCAACGTACAAATTGGTATATACGTACCTGAATAAAATTAGCTTGAACAATATGCTCATCAAAATAAAGCAGTTTCTATGTGCTGTAAATGTTTGAAATCGTTTTTAGTCGAATAAAAAAGCAGTATTTAAAATGAATCGAAACACATTTACTTTTGTAAATCGGTTAACAGGTAAATTAATTGTTTATATCCTCGTGATTTTGTCACTTTACAAAGAAGAAAAAAAAACGAGGTATAAAACTGCCAATAAACACTGGTTAGGGACTACATGTATATGTAGCTGTTATTTTTTACCCTCAGATAAGATAGTTTACAAAACCATTTTAAAGCAACAAAAATAACACATTTGTATTTATATTTTCCGTATTATCATGTTTATTTTCATTTCATGCTAAATTAACTAACGCCACAGGTTTTATTCGATTCAGTAGATTAAATTTAATGCCGATTATCGTATAACGCTGTTCTTTTTCGCACCCTATTTTTGTTTAGGAAAAAAATAAGCAAAACTCTATCAGTCAACAAATATTTTATCAAGTTTGAATTAATTTTAACTTACGCGTCAAACTGGATTGTATTTTGTTTACAATTCAGTGCTCGATAAATGAATCTTCATTCCCCTACAAATGTGACAGTTTTAGATAACGTAATTTGAATGGAATCCGTTGGACTAAAATACCCATGACTGCTGCATTTGCTTTAGGATACAAAAAAGTAACTACTACTTGAATGAATAATTGTAATTTATTTTTAAAATGACTGTTCTTAACAATTAATCATTAAAGTTTTACCAAATGTTTATTAACTTATGTATTACAAATATTTTACTAAGAATGCTAAGCAAAGGTGGGTCATCAGAACCGCCTATGGTGCCTTATACACATGTACTTAGGATTACGACATTACGTTCCTTTTCAATTGCCGTTGATTTACTGACTTGATTATATTAACAATATAATTCTGTACAATGCAATTGGCTTAATATGTTGGTTAAAAAATCAAATTATACGTTTTGAAACCCGGCCATTTAAGGACTACATGTTTGTACTGGATGAAGACACAGAATATCACACAACACAGAATATCACACAACACAGAATATCACACAACACAGAATATCACACAACACATAATTCGGACAATGTTAACGCTGGCTTTATGTGCATCATTCATTGCAACCATTTCAAATCTATCTCAAGTAAAATTTAATTATCTAAATAATATCTTGTTAATGATCCCGCCAGGGAAAATTTGCATGTGCTTTTAGTGTGCTAGCATACACATATATTATAAATAGGGTGCACTTTTTACAATGTTCTAAATGTTCCTGAGAAATCTGCTTGTTATCTCGTAAAAATGATTTAAAAGTAACACCCATTTTAACAAAGTAAGACCCATTTTACTTAATCTTTTCCGGGTCCCAGTGACATGCTCAGTTTATTTTCCGATACAAACATATTCACGTCATGTGACAACATAGAACAAAATTTGATTTAGTTAAATCCGTGGCAAAGGCCATTTTATGAGCAACAAAAGACTTATATAGCACAATATAATATTCTAGACTTTATTTTGGCTGTTCATTATAATATAATATTTTAGAAGCTGTATGAATTTACTGTATAAATACGGGTTGAACTTGATTTACATTTTTAAATATTTGTGGGTCGAGCCTAACTCTACTGTAGGCTGAACATTCTTTATGTGAGAAAGTCCACTAAGAAAGAAACTCTTCTGTTTGCAAATTCAAAATAATTGAATTTTATGAAAGAGTATTTCCAAAATGCCCTTATGAAAGAGCTTTTTATTTTGTTTACGCGCAGTTTTAACGTGTGCAAGATGTCATCAACATTCTATGTAAAAACTCTTTAGCGCATCGACAATAAGATTCATAGGAAGTAACATAGAATTACCCTTTATAAATTTTATAGAAATACTACTTTTATGCCCTTCACGACATTAGTAAGCCAAACATGAAAGCAACGCATGACCTCGTGATTGAAAATTGTTAACCGCATATCGGATGAAGGAATGAATGTCCACTATTCTGTTGTTTATCATCTAACATGCCCTCATTCCATTATACAAACACTATGTTCAGCATTTCTTAGGAATGAAAATTTATTGATTTCTAAGGCATAATGTACCTTTAATATACATGTAATATGACAATCTAAAATTCCAAATTTATCCAGTTAAAGTAATACACGTGTAAGAAGGAAAATGGAAATGCAAAATGTTTAAATTCTTTAAAGTAGGGGTTTCTATTCATTTTTCCTTACATTATTAGCCTGACTTGTTTTCTGACATTCGTTTTCTGCCTTGTTTTGAATATATCGCTTTAGAAAATCATCAATACGGAATAATTTTATTTAAGACTTTGAAAATTAACACTTTTTTATTACTTTTTATTGACTTTGAAATTAATTATGATATACATATATGTGATGTTAAGTGTTCTTTATTTATTTTAGGCACTGTTGACGATTGGGCTAGATTTAACAAAGAAAAGCAATCACCAAATATGCTTGTATAATGAAGTTATATGCTGCACTCGATACATGTCTTGAAGAATATTCGCCAGAAAAATATCCTTCAGTTACAAAGATTGGATCCGAAAATGTCAACAGGTCTAACCTTATACTTTCAAACGTTGTACTATTATTTTAAGCTGTGTTTGCCTTACAATGGTGTATATGTTTATAAAATGTTATTGATATTCAAACTACTTGTTACAAAAATCTTTACAAATGCAATACATGTTACGTATATCTCCAGGTTTATGTGCATTAATTTATAAACACTTCAATATTCATTAATATAATTTTTTATATACACATTTTTATATTTACATTTATATGTATACTTCACGAATATATTAACTTTTTCATTTTAAACCCCGCAAAAGATAAATGTAGTAGTTAGTGTAATGTACGGAAGAGCATTAGTGCCAGGTGTATGTTTTTTATTAACTGGAAATTTCGAGTTACTAATGTTGTAATGTTAATAAGTCGAAATTTCGAGTTACTAAGTCGAAATTTCGAGATAAGTAACTCGAAATTTCGAGTTAGTAAGTCGAAATTTCGAGCTACTTATCTCGAAATTTCGAGTTACTAACTCGAAATTTCGACTTACTAACTCGAAATTTTGACTTACTAACTCGAAATTTCGACTTACTAACCCGAAATTTGACTTACTAACTCGAAATTTCGAGTTACTTATCTCGAAATTTCGAGTTACTAACTCGAAATTTCGACTTACTAACTCGAAATTTCGACTTAGTAACTCGAAATTTCGACTTACTTACCCGAAATTTCGACTTAGTAACTCGAAATTTCGACTTACTAACTCGAAATTTCGAGTTACTTATCTCGAAATTTCGACTTAGTAACTCGAAATTTCGACTTATTAACATTTTTAATTTACAAGAATGGCCAATGTTATCTTAGATGGTATAAGATATAGTAGGCAGTGCCTTTGAACGATGGAGATGGAGAAACGGGTGCCTGGACAAAAACTATTGAAATTTAACTTAAACTTAGTAATGGCATGTACACACCCGACATAAAAAATACAAGGCTTCCTTTAATTTGTACGTTCAGGCGTTCTTCAGACGTTGTATTGTATCCCATCTGTTCGAACATATCTTTTCACTAATCATATTCTACTCATCCCTGTAAAAAAGCCGATCTTATACTTTACGTGTGGGACATCTGAGGAAAGTATCGCGGCGTGGCCAAAATAGGGCGTGCTGAGGCCTTTGTCAAGTTGTTGGACTGACTATATTTCTTGTAAAATCGGATGCTTTTATATTGTTCCCAACATATATATTATAACAAGTATCACTTTTATCAACTTTTATCAACACAATATGAATCAAAGTATTAGTGTCCAGCTTTATTTATCATCCAATGAAAACGCTGTATTTCTTCAAAATTCTGCGCGTTAATTTTCATAGAAGAAAAAATGTCGAAACTATATTGAAATCCTTTCATAGTCGCCTTTTATTTTTTATAGTGCTTCATAGTACCGCGTAGTGACGTAATCAAGGGCCAAATAAAGCTTGACACTAACTATGTTAGTGTTCATCCTTAGCTGTTCTACAGAAATTAGAAACATTCTCCTGTCGCTATCGCTCCCGTCGAAGTTTCTAATTTCTGTAGAACAGCACGGATGAACACTAACATATACTTAGTAAATAATGAATAATGTTACAAAAACATTATTAGTATAAAGAAACGTGACAGACTATAACTGGCCTATACACGTCATTTAAAACTTATTTATGATATTGCACAGTTTACAATAGGGTGGGTTTTGGACTTGTTGTTTCTCCATATGATGGTTGTATGTGTGCTTAAGAAAAAGAAATACCCTGTTAACATGGAAATGTGGAAAGTGTGATTTTACATCCCCCCCCCCTCCACAAAAAAGCGAAGGATATGTTCAGTATGTGTGGACAATTTGACCCTATAAAATTGTTCTGTTAAATAAATGTTAAAGGTGCTCTATCAATGTGCAACAACTACACACGAAAGAAAGTATCTTGAATTCAATCCTTGCTTTCACCGGCAACCAATGAAAGTCGTGCAATGTAAGTCGAAATTTCGAGTTACTAAGTCGAAATTTCGAGTTACTAACTTCGAAATTTCGAGTTAGTATGTCGAAATTTCGAGTTACTAAGTCGAAATTTCGAGTTAGTAACTCGAAATTTCGAGTTAGTAAGTCGAAATTTCGAGTTAGTAAGTCGAAATTTCGAGTTAGTAACTCAAAATTTCGAGATAAGTAATTCGAAATTTCGAGTTAGTAAGTCGAAATTTCGAGTTAGTAACTCGAAATTTCGAGTTAATAAAAAACATACACCTGGCACTAATGCTCTTCCGTAGTAATGACTGTGCTAATTTGCATTTATTCCCGTGGCAAAGGCCATTATATGAGCAACAAAAGACTTTTATTGCACAATATGCTTTTCTACACTTTATTTTGGCTGTTCATTATAATATAATATTTTAGAAACTTTATGACTTTACTGTATATTGTTGAAGATTATATATTTTATGTTTTGTGAAATCTTGAAATAGAAAAATTAATCAGTGGAAATGTACATACACATGTTTATGCTTTTGTTCTAAAGCGAATATTATCAGTTCAGCTAAGTAAATTTGATTTAAAAGCTTTTCTTTATTTTATATAAATCCGGTGACTTATGTGTTATAAAATAAGGGATTTGATGACGTTTTTAATCATAATGTGCAAAAGAAATGTAAACAGTGTTCAATTGTGAAAATACTAGTTTATTTTAAATTATTTTCATGAATTGTGTACGTAGTTATAGATTTTATACAGTCACATTCTTCTGTTTTTACCTTTTGTTTTATATCATTTTGAAATCAGTTTCAAATCAGTGTGCATGCACTTATACTAGAATATGTTTCTTTTCAAGGGAATATTTCCAATCAGCCAAGAAAAATTTATTACAAAGCATAGATGTTTGTTAGACTAGTATATCAGCTGGTGGTTCTTGTATAATTAAACGTCAGATTGTTTAGTGGAAATGGTATGTAAACATTATAAACTGGTGAAAATACAATTTGATTATAGCATTGTAACAAAAGAAGGAATATAAAATAATTTCAATTTGACACTTTTTCTAGAAAGTTTACTTTGAAAGAAAAAATCAATTGATCAGGAAACCACTGAAGACTGTATGAAAGTTAGAACCTAAGAGCGTTCCTTTCGGGTTGGGGTTTCCAATTTTAACAAACACGGTGTCCCCGGCACGTAGTTGTATGACAATAGACGTGGATCTAATTAACGCACGGTCAGGAATTTGGTCCAAGAAAATGTAACCAACTTTCAGCATGTTGTGCATGATGTACAAGTGAAGCTGGAAGAAGAGAACGTAAACTATTGAACGTAATGGATTTTTCGAAGCATGGTCACAAAGACACAAACTAAATACCAAAAACAAATAGTACTTAATGAGTGTGATTAAATTCGGGAATAAATCGTATACCTTAAATAACATCGGAAGCAAAATTCAGCTAAAAATTATGTTACAAATTATTATATTTGAATATGAGTAGGTTTGTTTGTCACAAGATTTTAATGACATAAATAGAACTAACATATTCAGATGTTGACTTTGGTGATGAACTTGCAACAAGATGTATCGTGTATGTTCCGTTAACAGGTGCCAGGAAAACTCCAGAACTCGGTTTGTAAGCACCCCCAACATTTGTTAAAACCGCATCAAATACAACGACCGTGTGTTGTCGTGGATTCACCATGTGTTTAGTCAGCTGTGCCATAAATGCTACTGTTTTACGGTCTGAAATAGGCATTTTTTTATTGTATTTCTTTTCTCACTGTTCACAGAAACATAATGATTTTAACTACAATTAAAAAAATGAATGTTCATTGAAGTCTCAAAATAACAAAAATAGAAAATTAGAAAAAAAAAAACCTAAAAAATAGTGACCTGTATATTGAATAGATCGTTACATTCAGCACATTATATTGCATATATTTTTCTCAGTTCTGCAAAATACTTAAGAAATGTACTTTATTTGTTCATTCAACATCAACATTTTCCATTTTGACATGCAATTCATTTTTCGAAAAGAAAAAAAAAGAAACTAAATTTTCATGAAATGAAACATAATAAAGATTTTACATGATTGTATTGATCTTGTTTCTTGTTTGTTTCATTATTATGATCATGAATATGATATTGCATGCAAAATTGTACTTAAAAAAGCTATAAAATCACTTACAAAAATCTGCCGTTTTCATTTTAAATGAACATTTTAGAATATAGTTTTGATATTTTTATGTCTAATTATTCATAATTTTGCTGTTTGACATGTTCAATTGTTCATAAATATCATGTTTTACATGTTCTATTATTCATTACATACCGCTGCGTTTTAGTTCATCAATTTCTTTCGCATGTGCTGCCACACCATTCTGCAATTCAAGCAAAGTCTTCAAAATATTTGTTGTAGAAACGCTGTTGTTCGTTCTGTTTTCATCTAACCAAAAAGGAAATTGATATGGAATAATACATTAAAATACTTGAATTTTGATATCAAAGCAACATGAAGGACATTTTTACTAACAGGTGTATAACTTCATTTTAAATTAGAATTTGATGCACACTATTTTGCAACTTCACTTTATAAATATTGAAAAAAAAAACTATATTGATATAGGATAGTCCATTTATAGTGTCAGAAAAAGTAAGTTATTAAATTTATTGAATTTATCAGGGAAAATGTATTTTTCAATTTTAATTCAATGAATTTTCTGATGCATATTTTGATATAACAGCCCTTGGTGCAAAACAATTTCCAAATATACTGTTTAGTCGTTAAAGATCAAAGTATGAGAAAATATTTGACCGGTGACGGGAAAATATGGTTTGGCAATAGATTGATGTTGTTATTATAATACCATAGCCTTCCTTTGCATCATCTTTCCGACTATAATGAAAAGTGAATTCGCTTTGTGAATGTTTGTAATTTGTAAAAGGGTACATAACAATAATATAAATCATCTTTTCGAATTAGGTTCTCATTTTGTTGACTTGATAAGTACTCATTTGAAGGGAATTCCCTTGATACATTTTGTAAAACATATTCTGAAAAAAAATCCCTAAAAGGAAAATCATAGTCTACTATGGAGGACAATTATGAGTGTTATTGCTTCGTTCATTTATTTAAGAAATTCATAAGTGTTGAATATGTATAATCTTTTCAAGTTTTAAGCGTATTTCATTGATATGTGATGAGAAATTATTGACCTACACAAAACAAATCCGTAAACCATTACTAATATTCGGAATTTCAAATGGAAAGGGGACATAGCCCTTCGTTCAACTATCAGTTTAATTGCAAAGTGAATTTTATTTACATTCTAATTATGAGCAAAGTGTTATGGTTTTTTCATGTACATTCAATGGCGAAAAAGAATTTAAAATGTTCGCTGATGTGAAAATTAGTGCTTTTGGATTGCAAAACACAACAAGTTTATGTTAACGTTTGTGCATATAATGGTTATAGTTTACGTAATGCAAAATGGAAAAATAGAATATTTTACATTCTTAATATGATCTCCTTATATACTTTCAAAACAGTACTCTGTTTATCAGTGTGTTAAGTTTATAACCTATAACATACATCTAAATATTTAGTGTAAGTGCATGTTGGATCCAATGATGGAAAGTTACATTAACAAGTATGATAGTATTTAAACTTTTTTTAGTTTTCTATTTCAAATGTGCTTTTTGAATGGGCATATTTTTGTCTTAACAAAGAACGGGACTAATAATTGGAAATAGCACATGAAATGATTTTATACTTACTAATTTTTGTCTCCTTAAGATCCTTTATTTCTTTCGTCAGCAATGACACTTCAGTCTTCACTTCCAACAAACTCTGCATCAAGGTATTTTCATAGTCCAACTTGAAGCGTGGCCAACAGGCTTGATATCATAAAGAACACCCAATGAATTTTCACTCTGAGAAATTATAAATAAAACCCAAAGATAAAATCCTTGAACAATTTTTTAGTGAAATCATTTTCTTTTGGAATTGAAATCAAAACAAATTATGTTAAACCTTTCCTTGCAAACGCTTGGGTTATATGATGTTGGCCTTGGTTTTACATGAATATAAGATACGTATATATTGTAGTATGGAAGTGCCTTGATGTAATAATTTCTGTTCTGTAATTATGTTAAATGCTGTTCATTGATATAGAAAATATATTTGGTCTCTTTCAGTGAAGGTGTGCTTAATTAAGAGGTTGTCACAATCCGTTACCTTAGTGCACTAGCGGATTAAGGCCTTCTTAATCTAATAGGAGTTTACATGCTATCGCACTAAGGGGACGACATAGAAAAATATTGTTAACTTAAACAGGGGATATTTCCTAAGTATAATTTACATAGTATACTCAAACATGGTGCGTATGCACACTCATTTTTCTCGTATATGAAAATGGTTGATAATCTTATACACATTGACTATTTATATATAAAATCTAAATTCATGTCAAAACTTGAACGATTTTAATGTGCACTGAACGCTTTTATAAGTATCATATGTTGTACTCGTGCCTTGAAAATTTAGAAAAGTCATTGTAATACATGTACTAGTTATATAATTATGTTCAACTAAATATTCGCCAAATTCACGATGCCTATGATTGCACGAAAGCGCGAACTTGTATCCGCAAAAGTTTCAGAAATACAGTATCTAAAAAGTTATTACTATTAATTTTTCATCGAAAGACTTTACTTTGATACAGATTTCGTTTTAATTTTTGAATAATATTTTTACTTCTTACAGATTTAAAAGATGTCAGTAAGTTTGCAAAAGATTTTGTAGAGCTCAAAGATATTAATACAAATGATGGCGTTCATGACAATGAATAATTTATGGAAATAAAATTTGTCAAAACTCCTTTATACTATAAATCATATAATAATGTACATTCTATCCAAGTTTGCACACTTGTGTCGTCCATGAATAGGCTCATTCAAACCGAGCCTGCAACATTTACAATTTTGTCGTTTTGGCGTTCCATAGGGAGTCCATTTTTTCTATTGTATGTGGATGGAAATATCTTAAGAAGTTTTAATCTGTGTCATTTGTTAAGTTTTTTGTGAGTAAAGACAATACAGAAGGAAGATATATTACTGTTGAAGAATGTATGTGAATAATGTATACAATAGCTTTAAAGTTAAAAGTCAACTGATAATACTGTTCTTTAGTCTAAATTCTTTAAGTAGTTTTGAGTTTTAATGATCATGATCTAGATAATGCTTAAGAAATGAGTTGATAACATGAAAACAAAAAGGAAGCTTTAAACATATTTAAGGCGTATATTTTTGTCTAAACGTTGTAAATAAGTTGTTTTTCCTGTTATGAACTTTTTGTCTTTTCAACAGTATTTTTCAACCAAAGTCTTAACATTAAAAAACTTTTGTAATCAGGATATAAAACTTATTAACAGTCTTAAAGTTGAAAAAGCAGAAGGTTTTTGTTTCATTTTGTGTTCCGCGTATTTCTCCGGCACATTACTTATATTATTTGATTTGGATACGAATGAAACGACTTACTGCATCAATGATTTATTACTGTTCATTTAGAAAATATTTCAAATGATAGATTAAGTTTTGAACAAATCAAAGTAATAGAAGTATGAAAGACATATCAACAAAACACCAAGTTGGAATATATTTAAATGCATTTTCAGCGATTCTCATTTTTCAACACCTACATTTAACGTCATTTCCTATAGACATCAAACGGACATCATAACTGCCTATTTTATATTCTTTGTAATTAGCTTTAGTGAAACATGATAAACATGTATTGTGCTTTAAGTATATGTTTCTATGTTATCGCTGAAGCCGTTGCTAATGTACAACAGGGATGTTTCACATTTTCATTATCCCTCATGTACTGACTAAGTGGTGATTAATGCTTCTGAGGATCACACTCTCTCCAGATTTTAAAAGTTATTTCCAGGCACAAATCGGTCAGACCACAATAATTTCATTTAAATTCATGGTGTTTGGACTGCCTTGTTAACAGCCTGCCATACTCGTTCTTATATATTGGACACACCCTTGAAATGTATTTTAATGTGCAATAAAAGATCAACTATGATAATTATTTTTGGGTTATATCTTGGAAACACCTCAATTAAGTTACAAAATCATCAGCTTGGCAGGAATCCAGTAATCGCACATTGAGAGATAATGTGGACATAACTTGCAGTAATACTACATAACTTGCAGTATGTTACAGTATAACCCACCTTGGAAGGTCAAGGTCAATGTCTTAGATATTTATCTTTAATTCATAAGATCTTCTCTAAATATCTGGAATTACACATGTTTTCTTTGGGTTAAGGTCAAAGTCACGCAAAGTTAATAAACTTGTATGCTTGCTGATAACATGTTTAAAACCATAACAATACATAGAGATTAAATCTAACAAATTTCAAGATATAAACAGAATCAAGAGGTCAGTATCAACTTATCATGTATCCACTTCTTTTGTATTATCTCTCATTTATACGTGATTCTTCCTCTTAAAAGTAAAATATAGCTAGTTTTAACAAAATGTGTTTGCAAATGGATAGAGTACCTTAAGATGTTTTTATTTATGTAATCCTTTGAAGAAATCTTTCCTTAAAAAACAATCAACAAGTGTCAATAACTGTTTTTGAAAGATGCATGTACACAATTGATACAATTGTTTTAAAGGAAGGTAAGTGCTGATACTAATCTTTAGTCTGAATTCATCTTTCAGATATACTGTATAACGACCAAGGTTATTATTTAGATATGTGTAGAAAACAGGTAATGTAAATAAAAAGAAAATAGAAATATTTGTAAAAAGATATATAACATGTATAACAGAACTTTTTAAATTGTAAATTTAACGTTCAAAATAACATTTTCAGCTTTGGCTTGTTGTGAAATAATGTTTTTATGGGACATATGTTCGTACCCGTATACTCGTCACTTGCGAAAGTGCTTGACATTGACCAACAAGCAACTTTTTCCCCATATTAACCATGCACATCATATAACTGTAGCTTAATTATTTAATTGAGGAGTGTGAAAATAATTTATTAAAGATCGGTCGGCCTAATTACCCTAAAACACTTTAATTACGTGCGTGGCATGTGCCCATCTACATATAAATACAGTGATTAAAGTTGATTGTGGCGATAAAGAATTAATAAGATTTGACCCTTTTATAAGTCACCGCCTGCTCTAAGCCAACCAGAATAAAAAAAATAATACCATTTGATATCTAATTGGACGACAAAAGACCTCAAACATGTGTGCCTGTGTTTTTTTATGTCGGGTTAACTATAAATAGAAATTAAATACTATCGTCATGTACGAAGCTCGAAAGCAGTGTGTAAAAAGAAATCGAATACCCGGCTGAATCAGTTTTATCAGTTTTCGGAATACTAATACTAGTCTTGATTTTCAAAATTTACGGGAAGTAACTACGTGAGTGTTCTCTTAACAAGTACACAATGCATTATCTACCTTCTGGAAAGAGTTATTTCAGACGTGGTATTGACGGTGTAAACAAGTATTTAACCTTATGTCACTGATTAAATATCTAAATGGTATGAAAAATACAAACTGTATTTATGTTCTATTTCATATATCTGCATTCATTTGTAAGAATACGAGGGAATTCATCCAATTGAATCTCACCTACATGGTAATGCACGAGAGGGACAAATGTTGAACAAATTCAAAAATCATGAATAGGTTAAAACAATTCAATGATAATGACAAAAAAAGTTTTCGAATGTTTAAAGAAAGACGATTCAAAAGATTGTATTCATCATTTTCAAGTTATAAGAAAGTAAAATATCGTTGGACACAGAAAGATCGGCAAACAATCAACGTGACAACAGTTCTTGATGAAATACTGCTAGTTCTTAATCTAATTTTTATGATCATCCCTATGTCAAAAAGTTATACGTCACGAAGTCTAGGTCCCTTCAATAAGATGCTATAAAAAGAACAAATAAAACATTTTCTGAATACTAGAAACAAACAGACTATTGGAATAGAAAGCACCATCAACTAGAGAATTCTTGTGCTAAAATCAAAGAATTTTTTGGAAAAAACACCACTTTAAAATGTTGAAAATTGAATACCGCTCAGGCCGGTGCTATGGGCCTGAGAGATGTTGATTTATTCTATTATCCATCTTTTACTGACTCAATCAAACCGATTGCAATTTTCATGTAATTGTTTTTTGATTAATGCTTCTGTGGGATCACACTTTTATTAGGCCGTTTATCTGCTGTTACTTTTGTTTTTAGTTTAACAACATCCCTTTTTAAATTGTCGACCTGGTTCTTTTTATTTGAGATTAATACACAAACCACCTGGGGAATAACTTGGGATCTGATTCTTAGAGAAGACTGACATATATTCTGCAATAAGAAGAAAATACCAAACTCCGTTATCCGAAACTGCGGTTTGCGGGATGCAGGCTCAATCTATACAGTTTTCCGAATCTTGGTAAAACATGCATCCTAATTTGGGGGAAGAGTTTGTATTAATTCTGGTCAGGTACTTCATGCTGTTAGAAATGTATACAATATCGTCCAGTTTCTATGTCGATTTATTATTAGTGATAGGAGAAATTTGTGGATTCAGCATGTACAGGAGACATCATTTATGAATGAAACTTGTGCAGGTTAAGCATAGAGAAGCTTGAACTTCTGCCAATCATTACTTATAATAAAAGAGAAGAAAGAAAAATATATTTATCAGGAAATTGGCCGAATAAAATTTCCCCACCCGGAGTGCTATAACCGAGACCTTGAAGTTATATTAAATTTTTTGAAATTATTTAATTATATTATAAGTTTATCTTTTATGTATTTTATTTCGAAATGTAGATTTGGGTTGCTTCTCTATTAGGATTTTTTAAGGTGGCGTGCAATAGCATGCAGGGCTTTGTTTTTAAGAGTTAGAGATTGTAACTAAGAGGGGAAATATGAAAAGGATATTAAACATTGATTCACCACTAAATGTGCAAATCAGAAAATATTCTGTCCCTTGAGTATATTTTGTTGCACT